TTTTTCCGTTTCTGACCCCTTTTATTTTTGTGAAAACATGAATTTTTTCTTATTTTTTATAGAAAATTAAGCTCTAAAACCTATGCAGTTTGTTTTTATTGTATCTTTTTAGTAATTATTAAATATAATACTATTTTTTTTTTTGAACATTTTTGTCAAGGACCAACTCAAACCGTTGCCCTGGGGAGGGAGATATGAACCTTACAAATGTGACTAGAGCCACTTGACCCGAAGGGCCAGGTTCATTAAATATAATACTATTGATTTATAATTGAAATTAAATTTTAATTAATGAATATAAAATTCATTTCAAACATATTAATTTATTATAAATAGATATCTAACTTCTATATTAATTAAAATTCTTTAGATAAACATGATCAAGCATCTTATCAAATCTTCACTAACTTTTTTTATCTTTGCATTTATAACTATTACTATTATATATATGGGGAAAGTGGGCGTCAGTTCTGCCTGCAAAAAAAAAATAGTGGAGTCCCAAACCAAGCGGCATCGTTTTTTAGAAGGAAAATAGATGTCAGTCCTACCTCTCAAAAAAAAAAAAGAAAAGTGGAGTCCCAAATCAAACGACGTCATTTTCCTCTCTAAAACCCAATCCCACTGTTCGTCTTTTCTCTCAAAAATCCAATCCCTACTCCTCGCCTCCTCTGATTCTTTCAATTTTTCACTCAAAAAACCCACCAGTAATATCGCCCCCTCTGCAATTATCTACATCTCTCACTTTCCCCCTTTTCCCTCATATGAGGTTGAGGCAATTAGAAGCCAAGAGACATAACCACGCCTCCTAACAAACTTGAAGTGCCATAGAACAAAAGAAATCGAGATTTGTGTTCCTTTGTCACATGAGCTTGAGGGAGTTGTGAACCAATTTATTTGGGCTTTGCAAGTTTGATTGCTGTGATTTTGGTTATAATAGTGTTGAAATTGAATAATGAGAATTGAAATTGCAATTTTAGTTATAATAGAGGAAACCCACATTTGAGTTTGTTGTCTTCAAAGATGTTGCTGCATTTATTTTCTTTTCTAGGTTTGTTTTTGAATGGTCTAGCCATGGTTGCTTTCTTCATTTCCTCTCATTTCCATATAAATTTTGGAAATCAAAATCTGGGTTTGTTAATTTATTTTAAATCGTGCTCATTTCCTTTTATTTTCATACAAATTTTGGTTATACTTTTCTTCCTTTCTTATTCTCTTATCAATAGTATTCCAATCAAAAGATTGGATTTTCTTTTTCTTTTTTTGTTATTTTCTTGGCTGCGAGAGATTGTGAAGTTTATTGTATTTTGCAGAGGCGGAGTCGAGAAGGTGAGGAGGCGATGGAGACGATTACAAAAGGGGCAAAGAAGGAGATGGAGATGATTGCCGGAGAAGGCGAGGAGCAAGGGTTGGATTTTTGAGAGAAAAGACAAACACCAAGGTTGGGTTTTTGAGAGGAAAACGACGCCGCTTGATTGGGACTCCAAATTTTTTTTTTTTTTTTTGGAGGTGGGATTGACTCTACTTTCCCCTATATATATATATATATTTTTTTTTACTCTAATTTGTCTCATTTCTCCTAATACCCATGTTAAAAAGGATTTCAAATTTTAAACTTCCTTTCCTTTCTTCCTCTCTTCTGCCCGAAATCTAGCTCACCAAATCCAATTGAGCATCAGAAGGCATACATAGATGAAACTTTCAATGGCCGCCTTAACTGGCTTGTTCTTTTGTACCTACACTGGTTCAGCTTTCTTCTCATCCAACCTCACAGCTTTCTAGCAAAGCTCAAAACCCAACATCGAAACCATGCAAATATCTAATACTATTCTTGTATGTATGTATATAGTAAAGTTATTTATTAATTTTTTTTTAGTTTATTAGTTTTTTTAATTTATAAACTTTTGAAACTAAACTATTATTTTTTAATCTTTAGAGACTAACTTTATAAATTTTTTATTCTCACATTCATGTAGAGTTAACCGATGTCGTTAATTTTGTTGTTGAAATTTTTAAACTTTTAACTTTATGAATTAAAAATTATATAATATAAAATGAGAAACTAAAATATTCAAACTTAATAAAATAATAAACTAAAACACTTGTTTTAGCCAAAGAAGACCCAAGCCAAAATAGATACCAACCAAAAAAGAATGCCTCCATTCTCCCTATTTTCAAAATTATTAAAAGAAAAAATAAGAAAAAAGAAATATTAAGATATTTTGATATTTAAAATATTAAAATATTTAATAATAAATGCATGATAAATTTGATAAAATTAAAATATACATTATATTTTATATATTTAATGATTGACAACTTAATATTTTAAATGTTATGAAGATAATTTTCTCTTTTCCCTAAAGATAATATCAATATTTGTTCCAGAATTTAATTCTTTTTTCTAGAAAAGGAAACAGGAGAGGGTTAAATTTGTACTAATAATACTAGTAATATTTTCACACAAGTAGAGAGAGGGTCCAAAATGAATAACCCAAAAATTAGCTTTCATTTTTCTATTTTCTCTCTAACTTCATTCTTCCTACCATTTTCACCCCAAC